AAAAAAAAAAAAAAATTAAAATGATATCAATATATCTATAAATAATATAATATGTATAAATAATACAGTTCAATTTCATACCAATTAATTCTAATTCATCTTCTTCAGGTTTTTGATCAGATACATAACTATTATATCCATCTGATGTAGGTTCACTTTCATAATAACCTTGCTGCCATGCACTGTAACTGTTCCAATAGGACGATGTATCATAATAATTATAAGCATCTGAATTTAAATTTGAAGGTGTATATTCTGATGATGATTGTGGTGGTGTTGATCTAAAAAAAGAAGAATCATTTGTTAGTACTACGTGATAATATATATATATATATATATATATATATTATAAATAAAAAATCAAAATGTGTATACCCTGATAATTTATTCCAAGGTCTAGGGACAGCATTACAAATTTTTAATGATTTTGTTCCCAGTCCTCTATATCCATTCATAGTAACTAAACTATTTTTCTGTTCTTCTTCATTAGCAAATCTGACAAAACCATATCCTTTACTAAATCCAGAACTATCTAAAATGACTTTTGCTGTTCTGATTGAATTATATTTAGCAGCAAATGCTCTATATAAAGAATAATCATCTACATCTGTTGATAAATCTCCAACCCAAATACTAAATTCTCTTTCTGCTGTTGGTTTTCCTGTAGTACTAGCATGATTTAATCGAAATCTCACAGCCTATAATATAAAAAAAATAAAAATTAAAACTAATGTCTATATTATTTATATAACATAATATTAATTTGATATAATAAATTATAAACAAGGATTTAATTAAAACTTTATAAATCCTTACTGGATTTGAACCAGGTATCACTTTGCCATTTAATTTATGCATAGCATCAAGTGCCATTTCATCAGTTGGAAAATGTACAAAACAATAACCTGCAGGTTCACCAGTATAACGATTTCTCATTACTTTAACTGTTTGTGGTTGTTCTCCCATTTTATGAAAAGCATTCATTATAAAACTTTCTGTCATATACGGTTCTAACTAAATCAAAATATATTCTTAATTTTGTTGTAAATATTAAAAATAAAATATAAAAATTATATTTTCATATAAAATAATATTTACTTACACCACCCATCCATAATTGACATAATACCATAGGACCAGACATTTTCTTGTTTATAATTGTCTGAAACAGAAAAATTTCGTAAAATCTTGTAACAAAACAAAACAAAATTCATAATTTATATTAGCTAATCAATTTACTTATTTTTTTACAAACAAAATTAATATTGCATTTATATATTTATTTTTATATTATTGTTTTATTATAATCTTCATAATTGTTGTTATTATATTAATAATGCTACTTTATTATTAATAATAATATATAACAATATATATGAAATGTAATATTCTATTACAATTATTTACTAAAAAGAGGTTAGAATCTTATATATATATATTATATTATTGTATACAAATATGTTAAATATTAATTAAGTAATTGTTTTTGAATTTAAATTGAATTTAAAAATTTCCAAAATTATCATAAATTTAAATAAAAAAATGTTATAAACTTACTATGTTTTCATTAGTCTTTTATTTTAATAACAATTAATTTCGTTTTTCACTTATGTTTTCATAAAACAATGATTATTAAAATTATGATTGTTTTAAATAAATTTCACATCATTCAAAAAAAATCATTGTCAAATTTCATTGTTTCTATTTAAAATAATTAAGGAACAATATTTATACTTTAGATGGCAATGTTCATTTAAGCTATATACTTGATAATTCGATATTTTTGTTTCGATGTTAAATATTATTAGTATCGATAATCTACAATTACGATATCAAATTTATATCGAAAAACAAATATTCGTATCAAATGAAACAAGCATTAATATTCGATATAAAAAATGAATGATTTAATTAATATATTTTTTATAATTTAAATATGAATTTTTTAAATTTAATTATTACATAATTCTGATATTTTACAATATATTATTAATAATTTATATTTAATATTTAATGAAAAATGAAACAAGAATTCACTAGATGAAATTATATTCTATTGGAGAATGACAAAATGACATGTAATATTTCAAATAATATTTATAAAAAATATTATAAATATTATTTATGTGTATTTATGTAATATTCGTTGATTCAATAAAAGGAAATTTATATAGAATAAGATAATTTTTATAATTACTTAATTTTTATTTAATTTTTATTTATTTATTCTCTCCTATAATTTTTAGAAGAAAATTATACTAGATTCATAAATATAAGCTAGAATTCATACGTTTTTAAATATATTATTGACTAATATAAAATATTCAAATACATATTAATAATTCTTAATTAGAGTAAATTAAAGCTTAAAAACAATGAATACTTAAAGCAAAATTATGACATTTTACTTTTAACAATTAAATTATTAACAAATCTTATGAAATATTATGTTTGTTTCTTTTAAATACTTAAAGCGATAGAATAAAAATTTATTACAATAAGAAATACATAATTAATGATAAAAATTGATAAAAATATCTAGAGAATTTTTTTTATTATTATTCTATAAACTATTAAACAAATTTATAGAGAAACGATTTATTAATTTTATATTAATATAATATAATATTTATTATTTTATATATATATGAGAAATATTTCAATTTTCTGGAATTATTGACATCTCAATAATATTATTCAAAGGTTAAGCATGAAAGAACAAAGTAAAAAAAAAAGTGATTGAGAAAAGATTTGAATGGAAGGGGAATAGGAATAGAAAAAAGAAATCATATTATACGAATATTTAGTAAATTTTTATATTTTAAATTATTCATTTCAGATTTTTATATCTATTACAAAAAATATAAGTATATAATTATAGAATAATGAAAATTAGTAACAAAAAGGAATGAAATAATACTGGATAGATATTTAATAACAAATGATATTGATATAATATGTTTATATGTATACATGTATGTAGTGTATTGACATTTGCTATTTGTTTATAAAAATGTAATAAAATATTTAATTTTTTTATTGAATATATCATAAAATTTTAGTTTCATAATTAATTATATGAAACAATTAGTAATTTAAAATCATTCACTAAATAAATAATTTTATTAAAAGATGTTTTTTCTTTTCTTTCAACTAATTGGCATTATTGCCAAATATGTTGAAATTTTTTTCATTAAATAAAAAATTTTGAAATAAATAAAATGTGTTGATTATTAGAAATTAATATGAAATAATTATCATCGTTAACAAATATAATTTTTTCTTAGTGGTGATAATAAATTATGATATCACGACAAATAAACATGGCGCTTATTTGATACTGGAGTCTTTAGTTGGAATAAGCCGCAACTGTTGTCTCAATTCGTATCAAATTAGCAATTTTATTTTTTGAATTTATTCATATATCATTTAATTATATCCATACTATTTACGATACAGTGAATGTATCGTTTTTATTTCGAATCATTTTCACGAGAAAACACTTGATAAACTTGAACGTCATACATGTCAAAATGGCCCGGGAATATGATCATTTATTTAAGCTTCTAATAATAGGAGATAGTGGTAAGTGTACAAATTTTCTTCATTGTTTAAATACATCAATAATGAAGTTCACATAAATGTACCATAATAAATTTTTAAAATTATTATAGAGAGAATATTATATTACTTATATTTTTAATAGAAAATGAATAAAATAAATTTATTATAATCAAGATTTATAAAAAATTATTTATTACAATAAAAATATAAAAATTTTTTTAAAAAACTTTTACTTTTTTAAGTAATAATCTTCTATTGCTACTTCATCAAAATTTTCTGTTTACAAATGATTTTCTTTTCTATGATATGTATTAAAAAATATGCAAAATTATATATTTAAATTATATATTTGATATCATCAATAAGCTATTCCTATATGTATTCATATTATATTAATATTATCATATTATATTAAATAATTATGATATAAAAATTTTTAATTCTTATTGTATAATATTAAATTTTGAAGATATTTTATATGTATGTTTAATAATATTTTGATAATTATAAAAAAGATTTTAATATTAAATATTTTTTCAAAACTTCAATAATATGTGTATATAATATAAAAGTATTAGTAATAATATATAAAGCTTTATTATATATTTAACATAAATAAATGAAAATTCTTTTTTAATAAACATATCCGAATATATTTCTTATTTATATTCTAATAAATTACAAATTTTTTACTATCATTACAAAAAATAAGTTAATGTTTTTTATGAAAAAGATAATTAATTATTATTTATTATGAAAAATTTATTATGAAAAATTATGTTTTATTAAATTTTAAGTTTATGAAATAAAATTTAAATTGAAAAATGTATATATCTTTTTAGATTTTTTAGTTATTTAATATATAGTTATAAAGAAAATTATCTTTTTGTTATATTGATAGAAAATTTATATTTTTATATTTTATTAAATTTATTAATTTAATTTTTATTAATAATGTTTATTATTGTTATTGTTAAGTTATCATATTAATGATGGAAGTTAACCTTTTTTTAGATAATTTCTTCAAATATAATAGCAATAATGTTTTATTTTCTATATATTAATCAATTATAAAATAAATATAATATAATTTATTTTCAATATAATTTATTGAATTGATTATAATTTCAAACAATAACATCAAATATTTATATCATATCTATAAAATTATTATTTGTTTTAATATAAAAAAAAAAATCATCAAATTTTCTGTATTACATATTCTTGTTTTTATTATTTGTTATATCTTTTCAATTATACAAAATAAATACAAATATTGTTGGTAAATGTCAAAAAAAATTGAAAAATGAAATAGTTTATAAACAATTAGATATATTTTATTAATCATTAAAAATTATAATGAATAATAATAAATAAAAAAAATCACTATATTTAGTTGACTTTGAACAATTTTGCATAGGATTTTATTAGGATTATCTCTATTAATAAAAAATTAAGTATTTTATTAAATTTATTTCAATTAATAAATAATAATTATTTTTATTTATTATTTTATAAATTATAACAATCTATTATTTATTTAAATATATTTATGTATATTTATATTAATTATAGTTTATATTTATTTTATATTTTTTGTTTAAGGTGTAGGTAAAAGTTCACTACTATTAAGATTTGCTGACAATACTTTTAATGGCAGTTACATAACGACAATAGGAGTGGATTTTAAAATTCAAACTGTGGATGTAGATGGTGAGAGAGTAAAACTCCAAATTTGGGATACAGCTGGACAAGAACGTTTTCGGACAATAACTTCAACTTACTACAGGGGAACACATGGTGTTATAGTTGTGTATGATGTGACCAGTGGTGATTCTTTTGCTAATGTTAAAAGATGGTTACATGAAATCGAACAAAATTGTGATGTGGTCAACAGGGTACTTGTAGGGAATAAGAATGATGCACCTAATGAAAAGGTGGTATTAACAGAAGATGCACAAAGATTTGCAAATCAAATGGGAATTCAGTTATTTGAAACTTCTGCTAAAGACAATGTTAATGTGCAAGAAGTAAGTAAATAATAATTAATGTGTTTTTATAAAGAAATATATTAATTATAAAATATTCTAATTAGTTATATATAATACTATAATATTAATTAGTTGAAGTATTCTTATATTTAATAATTATGTAAATATCAATATTCATATCTTTCTAAATAATCTTTTTAATGATTCAACTTTTTAAATATGTTTTAATAATATGACAATTACATATACATACTTAAAAAAAATTGTTTATTTTTAATAAATATTATTAGAATATTTTACTGAACTCTTTAATTTTTATATAATTAAAGATTTCTTTCTTTATTTTTTTATTTTTATTACATTTATAAAAAAAGAATAAAAATTGTTATATGTTTTAATTATTATATAAATATTATTTAATTATATTTTACTTTTATTGTTTTTGTTATTAATCAATTACTATAAATTTTTTTATTTATTATTACATAAAATATTATTCAAAAATTAATTATTGTTTCATATACAAAAAGTCATAAAATCAAAAATGCAGATATTTTTATGAATAGCTAATTTTGTTGAAAAATACTCATTTTTTTAATTAAAAAAAATTTAATTAGAAGGTAAAAAATCATATTATATGACAATGTATGTTAAACTTACAAATACTGTTCTACATTTATATATTACATTTGTTTTAAAATATAAATAAATTTTGATGCATGATGACTTTTTCTCTCAGAAAAGATTTTATTTTTTTGAGGGCAATTTTTAAATAAAATTAAATAAAAAGATAAAAAAATAGAATGTTCAAATTTTAATTTGTTTTTTGTTTAAATTACAATGAAATATACCAAAATTGTAAAATAAATTAAATTTTTTAATTCTTCACTAGTATATAAATAATATATTTTTCTATTAAATTATTTATATTATATAATGTGAATAGCTTTGTTCCTAAAAATATTATTATGTTGTAAAATTATTTAAACATTTGTTTTTTAATTAAAATAATATTAAAAATGATATATTATATATTATAATTTTTTACTTATTAATAATTATTACATTTTTTA